ATGGGGGAAGTGAAAATATTACAGTGGGTAGCAGGAGTACACAAATTCGTGGTAAATTCGCGGGTGAAAATAGCTAATTCCCACCCCGAACATCATTTGAGAATATTAAGAAGGGGAATATCAAGGAGTCCATGTCCACTCGATTACAATTCCTTTAATACAAACAATCCCTTCAAATATACGTCTTCGGATTGTATTCGTTGGCTACCATTTTTGTGTCAAACACATAAGAAAATGTTTACGTATTTGTATTGAATTGTATTTTGATATCTAGACCTCACCTACTTCATATGACTAGGCCTACTAGATGATTTTATTTACACACACCCCCAGTTATTATTCTTATGGCAAGAGGCGATCGCAATTGTAATAATAAAAAACTGGTGGCGCCAGTAGAGTCTGGGTTAGACCCATCTTTCCGAGTTCGCTGCCACCTCTTCCACCCGTAGAGTTCAGCGGAATTTGTTGAGGAGAAAAACATATTTGACAGGTTCTGACACTTACGACCCGCCTGAGAAATCCTTCTCGACTGGAACACCTCCCCCTCATCTCAAGCTCATCCCACCTCCTCTCGCATACACAAAGGGCAACTCCTGCGCCATCATTGATTAATGTAATATAGGCCTACTACTAAAATGAATATAAAACAAATTTATAATGTTTGATATTTAAGTATTTATACTGTATATATAATATGTTTTCACTTTCGAGGCAATGTATAGAATTTAAATTAGGCCTACATGGATTATTCATGCTTTAAATTTAAACGGTTTGCTGGAATAACTGTGTTAGTCATATTGTTAGTTTAGGTAAGTGCTGAGTGTTGTATACAATAAACTCGTTAAGTACAGCGATTTGTATTAAGCCACTAGTATAGTTAAGTGATAAGTGTTTAATAGGATAGGGATAGTAAAACCGTGCTTAGCTTGGTGGCTAAGATGGTCGACCGTCAAGCTAGCTTCTTTTTTTTTTTTTTGTATTTCCTTTTTTTTTTTTTTATTTCCAAAAACAGAATGAAAAAAAAAAAATCACGTGCTCTGGAAAGAAAACAAAGACAAAAGACAACGGTTGCTTTTGGTTTTCTGTGCGGTCCCGATTTCAGTCTGGTCTATAGGCCCAAAACATTCGGATATTTTCTGTGGATGAATCGCCTTCGTATTCATAAGTCGTAGTCACAGTCAAAATATGTAAATCGCATGGGTCATACAGTATGTTCTTAGTGAACTTCACCAACCAATTGACGTGTTCTAGCATCGGGTTCACGAGTTCTGGTACTAGCCTTTTATATTCAATTATAAGGGTCTGTGAATTAAAACGAGTTTCACATACAGGCTCAAGTTAAATCAAGTGTTCAAATTGGTTTAATCAATTATTCTTATTCCATGCCAATGTTGTTTTAGGGTTTTGAGTGGTTTATGCATGATAATAGATATAAAGTGATGGCCTAAATTCTACAGGTAGTTTTTCGTTTTTAATTGATAATCCGTAAAGTCGTTTTATAATAACGAGGTTTAGGATATATTTCCAAGAATTAATTGTTCTGAAACTGATTAAAATAACATGGTACAACTTAATGGAAAAGCGAATAAATTAAAGTAAAGTAACATTTTATAGTATGTCCTCAAAATAGTGCCACATCTGCTTTCATCCCTACACGTATGTATCTTAAACAGGGCTGGCACCAGCGGGGGAGAGGGGGGCGTTTGAAACACTGAAATTGCCATAGCTTCGCCCCCTGGACAACTTCTTAAAGATTTTCAGCGACGCTCGACCATGCTCATAGCGGCTCTTTACAGGAACATCGTCCCCACCTCCACTTTAAACTTTGGTCAGAGATGCAATTAACATCAATATTAATAAATTTCATGATACACGTTTTTATCCCTCAACCATTATAATATTATTAGAACAACCAGAATATTGCTGGTCGTAAGTCAAATCTAACTACACGGTACTACAAGAACATAACAAAATATTCAAATGAACATCTCCTCTGTTAATTGGCAAAAAAAATAATTCCTTGTAATAATCTCTGTCTACACACATATATATAATATTGAAAACAGTACTCAACTCAAGATGCCACAATCCTGACAGTATAGAAGGATCCCCGTGAAACTATTTCATTTAGTTATTAAGTTATTTATATTTAACAGTACGATTAATGTATTACATTTTTAGACAAATTCAGTGACATAATTATAATATTCGTGATACGCATAAATGCTCATCCTGAACCATTATATATTTTCATCTCTAAGGATTTTTTTTATTCAGTACTTATTCACACACACAAAATGAAAAACATCACCTAAAAAATTGAGCAATATAAACATCTCTAATGATGGTCAGATTATCTCAGATCGACCAAGCTAATCGGATACCTTATAGGAAGCGGAACATGCAATAAAATAAATCAAAAATACGCCCTTAAAAAAAAATTAGGAAAAAAAAAATCCACCGGCAGTCTCCAATAGGGTCCGAAAAGCACTAACCAGGTGTCTTAGGTCTCTTCATTACGACACTGGTCATACCTGTATTTTGTTTATTGTTGTTTCAAATATTATAATTTACAAACAAAATGCAAAAATTTATGTTTTTGGTCACGTATGATACGGTACGTTTGTCAACATACCGCATTTTTTATAATAAACATTCTGAACACGTTTATTTAACTACTGAGCGTAACAAAAAATATTGCTAAACAGAGGAATTTTTTATCCATGAAATGTACTGGTCGATTACATCCACTGGCTTGAAGTCTATGTGTTGCCAATAAGCTGTAAATTTTCTGAGTAGAAAAGAAGACATTACGGGAATCCACGGGATGATATAAGTTTCGTCAAAGAGGAAGAAGAGCCACGAAAGCAAAGCTGTTGGAAACAATACGGGATTATTGAATAAAAAGGGATTTTGATGAAGATAACATATGAGAAATATGATGAATGCACATGAAATTCAAACTACAATTATACATAATATACCACGTCACACTGATATAGATATTAATTGGATGAGTATATAATAGACCTAATCAAGTTACTGTAATACCTATGTAATAGAACTATATAAATTAATAAACAAGGATTTAAATATTTATGTGTATTATAGCCCTATATGCATATGAGCTATAAAATATAATATATATTATATATTGTAATATATAATACAGTAATGATGATGATGATAATAATAATAATAGTAATAATAATAGTATATACAAAG